CCCTCCCCCCCTCCCCCGCACCAGCAGTGGTTTACCTTCAGCACTGCTGCTCAAGAGTCATAGGTTGCCAATCCCTGCAGGGTGAGCAGGGCAAAAGGGAGGTGGTGGGGAGGTAGGGGTGTGAGGCCTCTGCAATGTCCCCTCCCCCCCTCCCCCGCACCAGCAGTGGTTTACCTTCAGCACTGCTGCTCAAGAGTCATAGGTTGCCAATCCCTGCAGGGTGAGCAGGGCAAAAGGGAGGTGGTGGGGAGGTAGGGGTGTGAAATGCTGAGTGACATGTCCCACTTTCATGCAGGAAAAACTTTTATATATAGAAAGATAATTTGGGGAAAGTACATTGTAGGATAATAGCTAAAGGGACTGAAGGTTGTCTCAGATTATTTGGGGAGGGCCATATAACATACCATGTCTAACTAGCACACACTCATTCACTTGCTCATAAATGGATGACCCTGCCAAAATTGGTAGTTTTGAGAGAGGAATGATTCTAGCCTCAGACCTACAGCTGGGTTAATAAACTGTTTGGTTTTCTGGTATTTCCAAAAATCAAAAGATTGAACAGAATCTGAATATTCCCTCAAAACTTTGGCAAATTGAAAAAATCAGCACACTTTGTTTGGAGCTGAACAAAATATTGTTTGTCCTGAAATGTAAACAAAATGGTTCATGCAGTCTTTAGCATAAAAGCAAAGGAATAAAGGGCTAAATTAAAAAATGAGGGGAAGGTAAGAATAGCTTTCAATGGTTAGGGCATTCACTTAGTATTGGGAGACATGATTTCATTTCCCCTTCAGCCTGGTATGGAACAGGGATTTGAAAATGGCTTCTGCCAGTGATACTTAATGTGAAACATATTAATGAACCTGACTGACATTGCAAAACTGTGTTAATGGAAGGGTTCCTTATGTTTGTGTTTAGCTTTCTAAATCCCTTTTGTTGAAACAGGGAAAACGAATCTCTGTGGAGGGAAGTGGCAGAATTGAGAGCAAAACACTTGCAGCAGCAACAAGTCATTCGAAAGGTAAGAATTCATTTGTGGATTATACAGCTGCTTTTGTCTGATTTAGATAAATTCTTATGCTCACAAGCGGAGATTGAAGGGGATAGGATAGTGGTCTAAAATACTTGGAAGGTTGCCATAAAAATGGAGAAGTTGCTTTGTCTTGGCACAGAATTCAGGACAAGACGGTGAGTTGAAGTTACAGTTTAGAAGATCTTGATTGAATCTCAGGAAACATCTGAACTTGTAAGAACAGCAGGACAATGAAATAGACTGCCTAAGGAGATTTTTGGAAGGTCCTTTACTGGAGGTTTTCAAAAGGAGGCTTGAAAGCCATCTGTTTTGGATGGTTAAGATTGGTTCCCAACCGCTGGTCCACAAACCCCCTGCCTGACAGGCCATGTGGCACATTGCCAGGCCATGTCCCCAGCTTTTAACTAGCCCCACTCACTGGGGTTCCCCATCAGATGCATGCCTATGCATGCACAAAAGATGTGCTTCCCGCCCACTTCCCCACACAGCCACAGGGTGAGTGGTGTGACTGGGGGTTACAATGAAGCTGATCTACTGGGCCAGCCTCACTATGGCCCCAGTTCCAGCTCCAGTGGCCGTTGGTGCCACCTGGCTGGTGGGGTTGCGTGGAGGGTGGCTGCGGTGCTCAGCCAAGTCCAAGAGCTGCTGGAAGGCAGCTGTCCCTGCAACCTTGTTCTCCCTCCCTCCCTGCTCGATAAGAGCCTGCCCGGCCTCCAGTTGCTCCCAGCCAACGTTTATTAAGTTCATAGAAAAATATGAATGTGCAGAATGTGTCGTCATGGTCAGATCTGTTAACTTTTTAAATGTTAGTACAATTGAGGCAAAGATTTGGAGTGAAGAATACTCTTTAACAAGTATTAGCAACTATTTTATTTTTAAGTGTGTGTGCAATAGTTCCAATTCTTATTAACCATGTCTCCTGTCCTTTGATTTGCCTGATATACCATGGGCTAAAATTACCATAGTGAATATGCAAATATTTCAGTGCTGGTCTGCTAACAGTTTTGAATGAGTTTGCTGGTCCACAATATAAAAAAGATTGGGAACCACAACTTAGGTTAAGGCACAAATCCTGCATTATGGTAGGGAGTTAGAATTATAGCATTAGGAAGGACTGCAAAGGGCACCTAGTCTAAGGTAAATTTTGTACAGTGGTGGGCTATCTTGATTGACAACCTGGCATGGTAGTGTTTACTTATTTTCTGTTTATTGTAGATCGTACAATTCATTGTTACTTTGGTGCAGAATAACCAGCTAGTGAGTCTAAAACGCAAACGGTAAGTACAGTATGAAAAATGGGATTTTGTACATTAATCAGCTAACTATGGGTTTCTTTTGCTGAGCTGTTTCTTGCCTATAGAAACCTTCATACTTTACAAGTGTACATGCAATTGACTTTTTTCTGATTTTAGGCCACTACTTCTGAATACCAATGGACCTCCAAAGTCCACTATGTTTCAGCAGATTGTCAAAGAACCAGCTGACACAAACAATCCTGTAAGTTCCTTTTGAAGTGTACATTATTTGTTCTTGTGGCAACTGAAGGGATGGAGAAAAGTGAACACAATTATTAACAGGAGTAACCTATAGTGGCTGAAGTTGTGCTGTTTGGAATTCAGCTACTACTCACTTCAGTGAACTACTTGAATGGCAGATTACAATTGGTAGTTAAACCTTTTGCATTGTAATGTGTGTTTCTGTTGCCAGCATTCATAGTGACCCTATTATTTATGATGCTGATATATTTTTGTATCCCTCTCAAAGGTTTTTGGCTTGCTTTGTTTTTTTGTCTTGTCCTTAGTTGATTACTGTTCAACTCCACTTCAGTTGTCGGGCGCACCCCTGCCGTTCTGGCTGGTAACTTTAGATAGCAGTGCCTCAATTGGCTGTGCGTTCATGGCAACTATCTTGTGCTACTCCGAGCTATTACCCAGCATGCATAGGCATTTGCTCCCCCAGTTCCTTCTCTATCACCATTGTCTTTGGTTGGAACAACAGCAGTACCCTCCAAAACCTTGCTATTTGTTCCTAATCCCTTAATTTAACCCTTAGTTTTATTCTTTATTTCCTCATCCATTTTACTTCCCCTTTTGGGAAGATACTTTTTATTTTTCCCTCATTTGCCTCTTAGCCAGAGGCACTTGGAAGGGGTTATCATCCGTCCGTCCTTCCTTGTGAATACCTTTCCTGACATGCCTGGTTCCCCAGGTTTTAAATTCTATTTGTCCTGTAGGCTGTCAATGTCTCTGACACCTAGGAGAAACCCACATTACACAAGTGCCAATGTTGAGGGGGAGGAAGGCAGGCTCACTGTAAGGTCTAGAAAAGGTAGAGCTCTCCAATTAAAATCTTACGATGCTGGAGAAATCCTTTAGTCCTTTTGAAAGTCAAACGGTTGGCAGAAGGCACAAATGCAATCCTACACTCAAGGATTCCCATGCCACTTTGAACATTGAGGCTGTCTACACTGGCCCTTCTTGCACAAAAAATGCAAACGAGGCAAAGCATGGAATATTGCCGCACCTTATTTGCATAATGAATGAGGTTCCATTTTTGCACAAGAGCTGCTCTTCCTGGGGGGTAGGGGAAGGAACGATTCTTGTGCAAGAGGGGGGAAGATTCAGCTTCAAGGGGGGGAGGGAGGAAGAGCACAAATGGCTCTATGCACTGCTTCTGCCCTGAGCACTAGCTACACTATCCCATTGGCTGGGAACCTGAGGCACAGCATGGTCTGTGGTGCTAGGAGAGGCAGGAAGCTTGCCTTGGCATTCCCTGATACACTGCTGACTGAGAGCTGTTCTCCTGCTCCAGCCCTGTCTCTACTCCTCCCCCTTCGCCCCCCACCTCCCCCAGCCAGAGCCCCCTTCTCCATCCCCAAAGCTCACAGCCTCAGCCTACACTGTAATCAGATTGTTGGGTTGTGGGCATCAACAATTTTCTTCATCTGGGTCACACAGTTTTTCTCTAATGCAGTGGTTTTCAATCAGCTGCTGATGCTTGGTGTTACCCGCTATCCCTTAAACCTCTTCAAAGCTCCGCTGCAGTCACTGCACTGCAGGCACCTAACTGGAGCACCCACAAGGATGTTCCCCAAAGAAGAAAGTTACTCATCTGTGCAGTAACTGAGGTTCTTCAAGATGGCTGTTCCTGTGGGGTGCCCCACTATTCTACCCTCTGCTTTGGAGCTTTTTTGACCCTTGCAGGAAAGAAGGAACTGGGAGGACAGTTGGTTGCACATGCTGTGTAGCTGCTCAGAATAGAGAGACAGCCACTGCACATGCGCAGCCAACTGGGCACTTAAAACTTCTGAAGAAGTGCAGGGGCTCACAGACACGTGAAGTGGAGCATCAACCATGACAACTATCTCAAAGTAATTGAGGTTTTGCATAGGTTAGTAGTAAACTTCCATAACAAAGTAATTAATCATGCAATAAAAGTTACAGCTATATGCCTAATTGTTTAAATGTTCTCTCATAAAAATTAAAGCATCAAATAATTAAAACATATACACAATCTCTGTGTGTGTGAGGAGCGGGGGGTGTCTAGATATCTAGACTTTGTTTTTAAAAAAGGCATTCAGTTAGGGCTCAAAGTTTTTTGGGTCTACTTTTAGTTTGGAAATTTGGTTCTTTACAATAGCAATGTTTTATTCTCAGGTACCACTCAGCAGAACAGAGGGACTAGAGCAGAGGGAACAGATTTCAGATGACATCATTATTTATGATGTCACCGATGACATTGGTGATGAAGAGACCACTATGGGTGAAGAAGTAAGTGCTCCAGTTACTCCAGAAACAAATGAGGATGCTACTTCGGACTCTTCCAAGTAAGTAATGTTTGTATCAATAGTGAAGTTGCTCAGCAATTCAGCATAGACAGGAAGAGCTTAATCATAAAATCTAATTCAGATTTTCATTGTAGAATTATACAAGATACCTATCTCCATTTTTTTTTTTTAGTAAAGGAAGTAGGCTTAATCAAAGTGCAGGTATGCGATGTTGAATAACATATTGGTTATTAAAAGTTACTATTATATGTGAATCTTTGCACTCCAAACCTGTGCACTTGTTAAACTGTACAAATCAGCAGTTGTAGCTTAGGGTAGCTAGGTTGAGAATTCAGTTAAAAGGGTCACTTGGGTATGTATATACAACTTTTAGGAAAGTGCCATCTGCATGCCATTTTATTACTTGGTTCTTAGTTCCTTAGGACAAGACTGGAGTTTCCCTAATTTATGTGATTATAGTGTTGTGCTGTTTCTTCCAAGTGTAAACGTTGCCTTCTGATTATTCCAGGCCTCTTTTTGTTGACTGCAGGCCACTGTCATTGATTTAATTACTTCAGAAACTGAAGTCCTCCAGCCTTTTTAGTTCTATTGTCCAAGGGTCTTTGGAGTGCATTTTCCACATTTTACTCCCTAATTCTGTGCTTTATCTTTGTGTCCACGCTTACGTTTATTGTACCGTCTCGGGTACAAGTAGGTGATCATCCCAGCCCTTCTGGTTCAAGGATTGTCTCCAATGTTGCCTTTAGTTTACAGTACATAATAGCATATAACTATGCTTTATGGATTTGAAATCCGGATTTTGTTGCCTGAGACTTAAAACTATTGATTTAGTTTTGGAAAATAGATAGTTCTCCCCCTAAGCCCCTGAAAATGTCATTAAGTGGGAGGATACATCAGGAATTTAAGAGTTTTAAAAAAAAAATTGTAAAAACATTGTAGCTTTCTTTAAAAAGAGCATTATAAACCCAGTAAGATAAGAGGAAAGGTTCATATTTAAGATATCCACCCCCACTGGTCCATTTAAAATTGTGCCATTTCCTTGGTACTTTGAAAATGTGTAAACTGAGGGGTTTTTGTTTTGTTTTGTTCTCCCTGGCTTCATGGAATGAAAAGATTCTGTCTGTGAGCTGCTACATAATACCCATCACTTATTATTAAATGGTGGTTGTGAGAATTTTAGGGAAGGAATTTTTATTTCTGGGATCTCTTGCATAGGGCCAGGGGAGTATCAGAATACAGTAAAGGGGAGAAGAGTACACTTTCTAGGATCCACTTAGCCCCCATCTCTGAGATTTTTAAAATGTCCAGTGGGCTTAACTAAGTTAGCCAGTTATGACAAGATTGACTTCTCTTCACGAGCCCCACTTTCAGTTCTTGTTCTTGATGCCCACAGGAATTTCCCTTGGGAGTCGCCCTGCGCCATTCTCCACCTCCTCCTCCAGTCCTGTAAAATTACCTTTCAGATTCGGAAAATAGCAAACAGACATAAGAAAGATAAAACTAATTTTCTCTAGCCTGATACCTTCCTATTCTCTAGTGCCAGTCCAAAAGAATTAAGTTTAAGATTTTGAAGTATTTAATTCCTGGAAAATGCCCCATAATGGTCACCTACCAACTTAATCTGAATGTGAAGCTTGGAGTTACTTTGCTTAACCTACTTTTGCTGAGACAGTTGTATTAAATTATCCTGACTTTTTAAACTTCTTTTAAAAACAAGGATTTTGATTAAAGATGATTAGCTGCTTGATCTGCATTTTTCCAATTTCTTGACATTATTTTTATTGTGTATTAAACTTTTGTTACTGCCATGGAAATTGGAGGAGATGAGAGGTCAAAACTTAGTTAGAATGAAATTCAACTACAGAGCTAGTCTGTTTCCATATCAAAGTGCTTCACTTTCTTTAATCCTTAAGGCAGGACTTTGAAGAAGATAGTTTTGGCTCTTCAGAGTTAATTCATTCATGGTCTCTGTGTGTTGCAGCTGTGGTCTTTCTCCTGATATTGTAATTGTAGAAGATGATAATGAGGATGACAACATCCCAGTAATTCAAGGAGATAAAAATACTGAACCAGTCAATATTGCGGCAAGTGATCCCCTCAGTCCTGTCAGTGACAGTACAAGCCCTCTCATGTCTAGTGCTGTCCAGTTGAACAACCAGTCAACTCTAACTGCAGAAGACCCTGTCTCAATGATGGATTCCATACTCAGTGAGAATGGAGTAATTTCACAGAACATCAACCTTCTTGGGAAGTGAGTAGCTTTGATGCTTTTGACAAAGTTAAAGTTGATAGAGGCGGTTGTTAAGAGAACACTTTTCACTGAGACTCTTGAAGAGGCCCTGCGAAGGATTCTTCAATCATAGTTTTGTGCTGTTTTGCTGCTTCATGGTATATAAATTAGCGTTTCATGTTTTTCTACCTTTGGGGGGGGGGGGGGGGGGAGTGAGAAACAAAAAAAAATTATTTTATTTTTTTTGCCTCAACCTAATAGTTTTTCCAGAAATCCTGGTTTCTGTATGCTCAAAGAAAATGTGAAGTACTATCACTCATGTGATTCCCCTTCCCCCCCTAGCCCAACTTTGAAAATGAGCGTTTTGCATCAAAAGATCCAGGGGATACACTCAAAACTCACTGTGCCACTTTGCTCAAGTTGGGAAGTGTTCTAATAATTGGTGCAAAAAGCCAGTACATCTGGTTTCTTATCAAGGCTAGGCACCTTCACATCAGTAGTAAATTCCCCTTTAAGATTTGAAATTTCATCTTTAGTGTCAAATGGCTGGAACACTCTAACATAAGTCAGTCAGCTGTAAAATTAATCTTGAGGAAGAACAAGTCCAGTGGCACTTGAAGATGAACAAATGTATTAGGGCATAGACTTTTGTGAGCTACAACTCATTTCCTCATATGCTGAAGAGGAAAGAGAAGCAGAAAAAAGGGGGAAATACAGAGATGGAAGTGACACAGTGCTAATTAAATCAGAGTGGATGGGGCTCATTTCCAACAGTGATGAGAAGAGAGCCCCTGATTGGGAAATTACCTATTGTAAATGCGAGAACCACCTCAGTGTGTGTCTACCCCTTGGTTTAGGATTTCACATTTGCATATGAATTCCAGATTAGCAGTTTCTCTTTGCAGTCTGTTTTTTATGTGTTTTTGCCAGAGAACAGTAACATGCAAGTCTGAAACTGTCCAGGGAGGTTAAAGTGCTCCCTCGCTGGTTTTTGCATGTTGCCATTCTTAATGTCCGATTTGTGTCCACTTAGTCTTTTGGGTAGACAGTCCGGTTTGTCCAGTGCACAGAGCAGAAGGCATGATGGCATATGTTACATTAGTAGATGTGCATGTGAATGAGCCTTTCATATAGCTGTGTAATTCATCCTGTGATGGTGCGTGCTGCTAGGGTAGATATGTGGATGGAGTTGGCAATGGGGTTTTGTTGCAGGGATAAGTTCCTGGATTTGTGTTTCTGGTACGGGTGTGAAGTTGATGGTGAGGGGATGCAACACCTGGAACACCATTCCAAAAAGAATCTTTGGCATCAAACACTTCGGGGCTCAAATTATGGGCCAGGATCACTTCGCACTTCTTGCTGAGTATTTGTCTTTGAAGGTTTTGAATTCTTAGATTTTCCTTTCGTGCTCTGGAATCAAAAGATTTTTCAGAAACATCTGGACTTGAAGTTCAGTTTAGCTGAGATTTTCACTGTCAGGATCTAGTAAACTTCTGTATTAGCAAACATATTGGAAGTATTAGAGAAACATTCCAGGGTTTTCTGTGATCCAGATTTTCAAACATGAACATTGTCTTGGTGCACAGAATCTCGTGGTCATTTTGTTTTGCCAGTTTTTTTTCAGAGGGTCTGCTTTAGAAACAACAATCATGTTGAGATGGATGTTTTAGCACAGTCCACATTATTTACATGACAAACCACAAAGTACAGGTTCATCTATCAATCAGGCACAACAGGCTCATCTCTTATTACATAAAACAGTCTTCAGTTTGTTTGCGTTCTTGAAAATGGCCCCGAATCCAGTTGTCTAAGATTTAATGTTTTTCATTTCTTCTATAGCAGTAGCTGCTGACAGTAATCAGATGAGCAGGACAAGTAACACATAGCAACTCTGGTTTCTGATTTGAATTTAATATTTCATGCAGACTTAAGCATGTTGGAAGCAGCATCTGGTTTTTATGGCCACGTTTTCTTAATTTTGTTGGTGCATTTCAAATGTCATTACTGCGTCAACAAAATGGTGTCCACGTGAATGCAACAGTCACCCTGAAATAACATTTATTTGCTTTTAAAAAAAACCCAAGATTTGGATGGAGCACAACATCAGGAAACTTGTCAGATCAAACACAGATATCCCACTTCTGTCAATTATGCTATTAGTTTAGATCAGTGGATCCCAACCTTTTGGGGCTGCCGGGGGCAGGGCTGCTCAGGGGCTTTACATGTGCTGTGTGCCGGGGGCGGGGCCACACATGTAGCTGGGGCCAGCACCGGCATGTGCTGCAACCCCGGGACAGGGGCAGCCCATGCGCCCGGGACCGGGCTGGCCCAGATTGTTTAGCGGGCACACACAAATGGCCCGGTGGACGTCATGGTGCCCGTGGGCACCGCGTTGGGGACCACTGGTTTAGATACTAAAGCATTGTCCTTTTTCTTTTAGATAAGGATTAGGAAGGCTTTTGGCTGCTGGACAGTGTCTGTCACCAGTAAGCCTCTCTGCAATTAAATGGTTGTTCAGTGAAACAAAGAGCTTTCACAATTTCACTGAGACACAGCTCTCCCTTGGTCACTTTTTTAAAAAAGTAAACACCGCTACCGAAGGATGTGACTTTATGGTTGGGAGCGGAGTTTACTATACTGGCACTTTTCGGTGCTAAAACTTTTGTTCCTCGGGGGTTTGTGTGTGTCACATCTTCGAACGATTAATGTTTTAGTTGTGAAAGTGGCATTGTAGATATTGCTTTAGTGGTAGTTACAATTGGCACTTGGTGGTGGAAAAGTTGTTTTTTTTTTAAATTGGGCACTCTCTTCAACCCCACATGTGACATCTGATTATTTTCATACTGTTACCTTGTAATATATAATCTACTTCCAGCTTTAAAAATCATTCTAATTAAAGCAAAGTGAATTCTGGTCTCCTCTTTATTGTGGAGACAGCAGCTTTGTGAATTGGTCATCGCTTATGGGTTTGTGCTGTTACACAATCAATTTTTATATTGAATATCTGATGCATAAATTGACATTCCTGTCAGACACTCTTAAGAGTTTAACACCACGCAAAGAACATAGAATGGCTGAATTGGGTCAGACCAAAGGTCCATCTAGCCCAATATCCTGTCTGCTGACAGTGGCCAATGCCAGATGCCCCAGAACAAGTAATCATCATGTGATTCCTACCCTGTCATCCAACTCCAGAGAAACAGACTAGGGATACCATTCCTATCCATCCTGGCTAAGAGCCACTGATGGACCTAATCTCCATGAATCTATCAAGCTCTTTTTTGAACCCTGTTACAGTTCTAGCCTTCACCGTGTCTTCTGGCTAGGAGTTCCACAGGTTGACTGTACTGAGTGAAGAAAAACTTCCTTTTGTTCATCAGCACTTGCCAGTTAAGTTTTAAACAAGCAATGATGGTGGTACTGTTACTTAAAGGAATGCCTAACATAGTGAATGCTAGTGGGAAGGGGGTAGGTTTAGAAGATAAAATAAAAAGAACAAGTTAAAAATCACTTAGAAAAGTTAGAGGTCTGTAAGTCATCAGGGCCTAATGAAATGCTTCTTAGAGTACTCAGAGCTGATAGCTAAAGGCTCAGATACCTCCTCTATCATTTTTGGAAAAATCATATAAGACAGGAGAGATTTCAGAAGACGGGAAAAGGGCAAATATTAGTGCCAAATCTGTAAAAAGGAAAATAACAACCCAGGAAACTACAGACCAGTCAGTTTAACTTCTGACAGGAAAAATAATGGAGCAAGTAATTAAGGAATTAATCTGTAAATATCTGGAAGAAGAAAAAGGTGATAGATAACAACCAGCATGGATTTGTAAAGAACAAATCATGTTAAACCAATCTAATAGCTTACTTTGATAGGATAATGAGCCTTGTGGATAAGGGAGAAGGGATGGATATGGTATACCTAGACTTTAGTAAGGCATTTGATATGGTCTTGCATGATATTCTTATCAATGAACTAGGCAAATACAAATTAGAGGGGGCTACTATAAGGTGGGTGCATAACGGGATGGATAATGCTGTTTCAGAGCACACAATTTTTTTGTTTTTCTGTCTTCCAGAGTTGAACTGTTGGATTATCTTGATAGTATTGATTGCAGTTTAGAGGACTTCCAAGCCATGTTGTCAGGACGACAGTTCAGCATAGATCCAGATCTCCTGGTTGATGTACGTATTTCTAGTAATATCCTCTGTTTTGTAATGAACAGGATCCTTGAGAGCCACACATTTTAAGAGAATTTGATTCTGAAAAGCCTTTTAATACAAAAAATCATGCATCTCTAGAGTGGCACAGTTATAAAAACAAAAATTGGAAGCATCAGTCACTTCTACAGTTACACAGAATGAATAATAAGGTTTAATTATATTGCATACTAAAAATTTTACCAGTTTTTATAACCGGGAGATAGGTATGCAAAAGGTTGTTTCCAAAATAGAAGAATTAACATTAATATAAAAATCTTTTGTATTTACTGATACTTACTACTTTAGCTATGCCACAATAACATTGCATGAGCAATTGTAGCACCTAATTTTCTTCCCGGGTGTGGGGGGGGAGGGAGAGAGGGAGTAAATACAGAATAGAGCATACTTTGATATTGATGTACTATTTCCCATGCCCCTGAAGTATATGCTGTTAATTGATGTACCAGTTTATGTATGTTTAGTAGAACTGGTGCTCTTGACTAGAACCACATGTACTTCCATGAAATTGGGCAAACAGAACCAAAGATATATTTCATGTTTGAGGGGGGGGAGGGAGAGAGGGAGTAAATACAGAATAGAGCATACTTTGATATTGATGTACTATTTCCCATGCCCCTGAAGTATATGCTGTTAATTGATGTACCAGTTTATGTATGTTTAGTAGAACTGGTGCTCTTGACTAGAACCACATGTACTTCCATGAAATTGGGCAAACAGAACCAAAGATATATTTCATGTTTGAGGCCTGAAGCTGATGGTGGCATCTGCTTTCATACATTGGCATCTGCTTTCATAAATGGGGAAGTAGGGCTCTTGAAGTCTTTATCAGACTTGCATGGTTCTAGGTCCAAGTGCATTCTGGGCCACACAATTTTGAATTGAGTATGTATTCTAATGATTGCAAATTGTGCCAGAAAGGGACATTCTTGGAGAAGAAACAACAAAGGAATAAGAGGACTGGAGGTCCAATTTTAGCTAGTGGCTGGTGCCCATGTAAATCAGAAAGTGTACTGTTCAGGAAAAAACATACCCATATCCTAGTCTGGTGCTGTAGAACTGTAACTTCTATATATTAGGGTTCATGGGTTTAATTTCCAAAAGTTTCAAAGCTAAGCAGCTGAGGCGAGAAAGGAGTGAAATTTCTTTTTTGCTTAAAATAATTCAAATAGATAAGGTGGCTGCAGTTTGCCCATGGATCCTTAGTTCTCTTACCTGTTCTTCCTTTTGATCATTCCTCTCAACTGGTCAACTGTGTTGCAGGTCACACTTTCCTGAAACATCAGGAGTAACTGCATCATTTTGAGGTAGACATGGTACAGACATTGACAGGTTGTGAGCATTGCAGTCTCAATGTAACCGGTCTCCTCCACAGTTAAGCTTTTACTTTGCCATTTTGTGAAAAACATTTGCTAACTTATGAAAGGTGTCCCAAACCTGCTTAGATGCTATTGATCCTCCCATAATATAAACCAAGGTTTCTCAAACTTTCCTTGCACTGTGACCCTCTTCTGACCACAAAAATACTATCCTTGGACAGGGGAATGAAGCCTGGGCCTGCCAGAGCTCTGCTGCTCCGGTGAGGAGAGTTGGCAGAGCCCAAACACAAGCTCTACCTCCCCGGGAGGGAGGCAAAAGCCAAGACTTCGCTTGAGGCAGGGACCATGTCAGATCCATCAGCCTTTGGCTATCCCTAGGAGGTGGGGCTTAGGCTTCAGCTGCAGGTCCCCAGCAAGTCTAAGCCAGCCATGGTGGCCCTGTTAAAATGGGTTTGTGACCCACAGTTTAAGAATAGCTGAAAAATGACTTAAATATAGCGCAGTGTTTTCTCTCACATATATTTAGTGACATTCTTACTGTACACCAACATTCAGAATTTTAAAACTGTTTTGTCTTGTTCAGCTTTTTACAAGCTCCGTGCAGATGAATCCCACAGATCATATCGGTAATACAAAAGTAAGTTCCAAACTGCACAATGGTGAGAAGTACAAATACAGTTGAAGGTTGGTGAATAACCTGCCTTTTAGCTGTGCCCATTACTGAAGTGACAAAGCATTTTCATGTATTGTGAATAAAACCTCTAACTTGGACACAAAACTGGAGTTGAATTTATTCCTAATCTGCTTTATAGCTGGAAGGGAAAAACAGCCAAAATTGTGGGTTGAGGGGAGAAAATTATTTTCATTTTAATACCATGTTCATCACCATGCTGTCTTAAGGGAAGCATCAAACACTTTTACAGATGATGAAAGTGAAGATAGCACTTGTAGCCAGAACCAAGAGGATTTTGACTTGTTTTTTTTCCCTTTGCAGACAAAAGGAATAGAAACCACAAAGAGTAACGGACCTCAGTCTCCTTCACAGGACACACAAAGTTCCAAGCCCAAATCAGGTTAGTATATTAACTGGCAAGGCTTTGCAGGAAGAGCTTCATAGTTGTTCAACTGAAAAAATGGAGGAAATTGTGGAATGCTTAAGACTTGACTAAGCAGGACCTTGTTTTAGCTGCTTAATTGCTTCCTG